TTTCTCTCTCATCGATGTTTCTAACTCTCTATCCCTCTCCTTTCCTCTCTGTAAAATATCAATAAAATATATTAAAAATAAAAATAAAAAATAAAAGGTGGTACATACGCACAATAGAATACTCATCAGCCATAAAAAGGAAAGAAATACTGGCACATACTACAACGTGGATGAACTTTAAAACATTATGCTAAGAAAAAGAAACCAGACACTGCCCTAGCCGGTTTGGCTCAGTGGATAGAGTGTCAGCCTGCGAACTGAAAGGTCCCAGGTTCGATTCCGGTCAAGGGCACATGCCCAGTGGGGGACTTGCAGGAGGCAGCCAATCAATGATTCTCTCTCATCATGGATGTTTCTATCTCTCTCTCCCTCTTCCTTCCTCTCTGAAATCAATAAAGATATATTTTAAAAAAAAGAAGAAACCAGACACTAAAGGACAAATATTGCACTTACATAAAATATCTACAATAGCAAATTCATAGAGACAGAAAGGAGATTGGCGGTTACCAGAGGCTGAGGGCAGGGGGAACGGGGAGTCATTGTTTGGTTACAAGTTTCAGTTTGGGGTAAGGAAAACTTTTTGAGATAGTGGTGCTGGTTATACAATATGGTGAATTAATTATGGTGAATGTGATTAATGCCACTGAACTGTATACTTAAAAATGGTTACAATGGCAAAAATTTTATATTACATATTTTCTACCATAATAAAATTTTTTTCAGAAAATATGGTTTCCAAGAAGTTATGATAACTTAGGAAATGCTTTTGCTACTATTAAGGCAGAAAAAAAGGTAAGTATAAATATATTACACACAGATACACATAAATCCTCTCACTATATGATGTCAACTAGCCTGGGAAAAGCACAGGCAAAAGAATGTTTAGCTCTCGGCCTGAGCGCCACTTCCTAGAAACCCCTGTGCCATGACAGCCATGTGGAGGAAGAAGGGAATGCGCAGGCTGAAGCGCAAAAGAAAGATGAGGCAGAGGTCCAAGTACACCGCAAGCTTGTGCACCGTGAAGCCACAGGAGCAGCAATAAGGGCAGCCAGAGGCCAGGGGCACCGGCACGAGCTGCTGGACTGCATGCTGCTGTCTACACTTCTCAACGGGATCTAGAAATACATACATGCCATCCGAACGCCGTGACCGCCTTTTGAGAGACCCACCCTGCTCTTACAAAAACAGTCCCTTCTGGATCTTTGCCCTGGACCTGTGACATTCTGGACTGGTTCTGTTCTCAGGTGTGGCTGAATGTAACATGTACAATGTATCAACTCCTCTGTCTTAGCTGAAGAAAAAAAAATTTTTTTTTTAATCCATATACTGCCCTAGCTGGTTTTGCTCAGTGATTAGAGTGCTGACCCGCACACCAAAGGGTCGCAGGCTGCAGGTTCTATTTCCAGTCAAGGGCATGTACATGGATTGCGGGTTCACTCCCCACCATCTGTAGGAGGAAACCAGTCAATGTTTCTCTCTCTCTCTCTCTCTCTCTCTCTCTCTCTCTCTCTCTCTCTCTCTCTCTCTCTCTCTCTCTCTCTCTCTCTCTCTCTCTCTCTCTCCCTCCCCCCCCCCACCCCAACTCCCTTCCACTCTCTCTGAAAAGCAATAGGAAAAATATCCTCTGGTGAGGATTAACAAAACAAAAAAGTTCAGCCTGCCCTACATGGCTCAGTAGTTGAGCATCAACCTATGAACCAAGAGGTCACGGTTTGATTCCTGGTCAGGGCACATGCCTGGGTTGCGGACTCAGTCCCCAGTGGGGATGTGGAGAAGGCAGCCAATCAATGATTCTCTCTCATCATTGATGTTTCTATTTCTCTCCCTGTCCCTTCCTCTCTGAAATCAATAAAAATGTTAATAATAATAATAATAATACTGTAATTACTATGCATGGTGCTAGGTATCAGACTTATCAGGGTGCTCAGTTAAGTTATATAAATGTCTAACCAATATGCTGTATACCTGAAACTAATATAAATAATATTGAATATCAACTGTAATTGACAAATAAAAAAAAGAAAAGGAAAAAAATAAATATGCTCATTATCCCTTAGATTTAACCATCCTACTTCTGGGAATTAATCCTATATCTAGAAGAATGATAACATATACAAAAAGGACATTCACACTGGTTATAGTAGCAAACGATTGGAAACAATTTAAATGCCCATCAACAGAGGACTGGATAAATAAATCACAGTATGCTCATCCCATGATTCTAATCATAATTCTGAAACTACGTATTATCAAGATGGAAAATGAAAACAACACACACAGAACAGTGCGCAGTGTGTTCGTTCACTTGTGCTTAGAAAAAGTAAAATAATATCTGCATACGCTTGTATTTACACAGGCGATTCTGGAAACATGCACAGGAAAATGGTGACAGCAGCTGCCCCTACAAGGGGAAATGGGTG